ATTGGCATAAGGAATAATGCATCCTACACTTACATTCATAGACCATCTTGTGAATGTAGCTAGAAAGGAAAAGAAGGGACAAGAAGAGTATTTCTAGAGGGTGTGGGTTGGATTCCTTCAAGTCCCTTTCCTGAAATGGACTTCCTAATCCACTTCCCCTGCAACCCCGGTGAGGGGAAAGCCTAGAGGTAGTTTTGAATATCTTTCGGTCTCTAGTCTATCAAATTTGCAAACGCAGTGTATGCAATATGGTTATTCCTTTGATACATACTGGAGTGCCTTAGATGTAATTAGTGTCTTTAAACAATTTCACGTGTGCTAAGAATTGGATAAACGGACTAGTATGTGGACAGGGGAGGGAGTGCAGACCGGTGGGGAAGCTTGGAGTTATAAATGTGGGAGTTCAAAGAAAAGTCAAGGAAACTCTGGGGCACCTGCCAGTGTGCTCAGAACTGGGAATGTGGCACCAGGCTGTTTCTGTTTGGGGGCCGTTCTAGTCTCTTTTCATGGTGGCAAAGCTTGGAGAAGTTTAAGAAAAAGTAATCGCTTCCATTTAGAATTTTCTAGAAATGACTAATGGCCTCAACTGAGTGTTATTCTTTACTAAACCAGATCAAAGACTGAGCATCTTATGTTGGTTATATTTCATTTGCTCATTTGGAAGGTGAGGTGGAAGAGTAAGGCTATAAGGGTTTGTTGGCACAAAATACAGTTTCATTTCCTAACATGTAGTTTCGATGCAAATGATGATGAACCAGAGTCCATGCCAGGTTGGCTGTGGTCAGGGTGGGAACGAGACTAGAAACCACCACACTTCATCTATGACTTCTAAGTGGTCAGGGCTGAGACAGACCAAACGTAGGCTTTTGTCTGAGCTACAAAGCAAATCACTCTCGATGTATAAAAATACATTTTTCCTTTACCAGTCCTCAAGCAGCTGAAACAGCTCTTCAATCATCTCATTTCGTTTTCTTGTTGTGTTTTGCTGAAGTGAGTCACCATGAAAACTAACTAGAGGAAGAAACCACACACCCCAGTTATCACACAAAGGACACTACAAAACTGTCCACGTGGATCATTGACTGAGCTCTTACTGAATGCAGCTTTATTGGTAGTGATGAGGTTACAGACACCACATACATTTTAGTTTGTTGTTCCTTATATGGTACCAGAATGTTTTAAGCAAAGAATTTTTTTTTTTTTTGCCAGAATTTGCTGACTAGATACAAAGTTGTTTTAAAAGGAGTATCCAAGACAAGCATTTCATCTCAAAGTCTCTGGGAAGGAAATTTAAATGGTTTTTACCTTCTGAATGTGCTGGAGGGTAAATCTTTAATATTTTAGATTCTTTAGTTCTCATAATTACCATGGGAGGAGCATTGAGGAAATTTTGCTACAGTTTTTACTGATATGAAGAGACATACTGAAAAATAATTCCTTATAATGCTGCCTTGTGCTAGAAGACATATTCATCCGTGGCTGGGATGGGGATATAGCTCATTCAGAGAACATTTGTTCAGAAAAGAATTCAGAAGAATCATTCAGAGAAGATTACATAAACTTATTGCTTTGTAACTCAGGGAAAAAATTAAATGAAGTGATTTTAGTTTCTTTTATCTAGTGTCTTGGATAAATTCTGAAGGCATTTGGCCGAGATAACCAGCAAAAAATTGACCTTTTAACACTTACATATTTCCAGGGAAGCCTCTAGTTACATGCATATTTGTAAAATACACTTACTATAATTGCTGTGTTGCCTTAACCATAGAACCATTCAGTACGTTTTCACTTCCTTCTTGCCTCAATTACACCTCTTCACTCGTAACACCCCGCTACCGTCTAATTACTGTTTAGAATTATATTAATCTGTACCATCACTGACCTTCTATTCATAACCAGTCTTACAACAGAGAAAGTAAACACAAAACTCATTCAATGACACCGAAAGCAACTGGAGCATCAGGGACGACAGTGGCACGCTAACAACGGACAGACCACATGACAGTCTTGTTTCCTTGAGACTCGCACATCAGGTCTCTGGCCCATTCAGAAAAAGAAAGCTTCTTATTTCAGCTACTGGGTAACTTGCTATTGCTCTGATAGGCGGAACTGATGCTTTTATTTAGTCACAGGATGTAATGTTGGCATTACAAAAATAACACGTCCTTTTCTTTCAGAAAAATAAAAGGAGGTATAGGGTTGGATCCTGAGACCAAAAGTATAATTGAATGCTTTAAACACATGGAAAATGAAGTGCTTTTCCAGTTGGGAAACATGGAGAAACCGTCGCGGTTCTAGGGGCAACTGCTTCAATGGCAGGGTTAAAGAGTACGTTTCGCTCGTGCGCAAAAAGTGACGCGCATTAGTTTGATTCTACATACTTTAGTGTCTTTCAGTTGTCAGTGAGGGATGTTTCAGGACACAGCACTTTCACCAACACTTAATGTTCCATGCTCCCTATCAATTTGTTATGTCAGAAATTCCAGGATCCTAAATTCATATTGGTCTTTATTTATGGACCTAACTGTTGAAACAGAAGAGAGAGCAGCAACGTCCCCAGGAACCTGGTACGCCCAGACACGTGGGTTTTCTCACTCTTCAAATAAACAACATAGAAAATACATTACACGGTAATTTCAAATGATTTACCCAGCTCCAACATGTCTCCAGTCTCATCTCTAAAAAGCCACTTCCGTGTCTGCACCAAGCTCTCATCAAGCTCTGATTGCTGAAAAATCCTCTAGTGTCAATCTCTCCTCATTCTTCCAAGATAAAATGTTACAACTGATTGATTCTCATTTCATTTCAAGCCATAGGCCCTCCACTTCACCGAACTTCTAGGATCTCAACGGGAGACACTACTAGTGCACATCAGGAATTATGTCTATTTGCCCACTTATGACCTATAATCCATAAGAAATCACTTTTTTTCCTCTCAAAATTTGTGATATACTACAGGCATCTCAACTGTACAAGAACATACATTTATATCAAACTAAAAGATGTTATAGTCACCCTCACACAGGCATTGTGGGTTGTGGCCAAAATAATTTATTAAAAATGAAAAGTTTATTTTCCCAATGATGCTTCAAGGACAAGGGTTATCTGTGGTTTGTACAATGGTAACTTAAGGGGCTCAGTGATTTAACTTGCTCCATAAACTAGTTTCTTATACAGCTTTACTTTCCAGCCTGAACAGAGAGTCAAGGGAGCAGATACCTTTAGATTTGCTCCGTACGTGGAGAAGCTCTGAATGTTCTGTGTGGGGTGAGGAAACAGCCCAGTGTTTTTACATTAACAATGCCTTGTTCTCAACTTATAGTGTCGTAGGCTTTACCCAAGTGTTACCATTAAATACACAGAAATTGAACTTTTCATAAGGGGCAATGATATAAAATTGTTCCACAAAGTGTACTACATGAACCACTTTTCACAGTTCAAATAAAATATTTTAAATATAAATATTGTAACTCTAGCAATAACCTATCTACACAAGGTAGGAGAAATGGGATTAATGAGAACCCAGTTACATTTCCACGTATCCCGTGTTTAACCATTTAAATAGTTTTATTTTTCAAAACCTAATTGCACATAACCCATAACTGATAGGCCACTTCTCCAAAACAAAGAAACTATCAAAGAATAAAGTGATAAATTATAAGAAAGGAAAATATGTATCATTTACTACAATCATTCCCTTGCTCCAAAACTTGGCAAACATGTAAGAAAATGATATCAAGTGGATACACCTTAATTTGCAAAGTTAATTTGGAGCAGACGAAGTGAAAACATATATAACAGAATGGGCATATATTATTTTGATATTTCCATGTGAGATAAATGTGTTAGATTTTTAACTAAGAAATCAAGAGGATTGCTGTGAAATGGAAAACAATGACATTTACCACCAGGATGTTATTGCCAAACCCAAGAATTCCAAACGTTCCCTTCATTCTCATCCATTAAAAAAAAAAAAAAAAAAATGGGGGAAATCACATTACTGTTACCAGTTGTATAACCTTCAGGCTACATAAGCTTTAAGTTAATGATCCTTACAGCCATAGTTTTATTTGGTGTTCTTTCTTGGGGCTTACATTGGGTCAAGTTTGCATCTCCGTGTAGTTTTTAGGGTCAGAGTAAGGCTCCCATCATACTTGCAATTCCTTTAATAGGGGAGGAAGGTTGAAGTGCAAACACTTGTAGGAAAAACAACAAAATGATCTAAATTTACACCATAAACTAAATGACTAGTGGTTCTCTTCTTTGAGAGCAGTATTTTTTGATAGCAACTACACTGGAGACTGAGGCACAGAGGAAAAAGAGAACAAGGGATAAACCAAAGGTATCAATGTGACAGTTACAGGGAGGAATCCCTGTTACTTTCCAGTCAGACGTTGTTTTAAGCTTTATGACTTTGTCACGGGATGCCTTTCAATATTCTTTACTCAGTCACGTATAGAAAAAGAAACTGCATTTAAATATAGAATTAAGTCTTTATGGATATAGATGGATTTCCATTTTAAAATAAAAGCTATGAATGCTTTTAACTTCCTAAAGAAAAAGAGAAAGAGGAAGATAAACTTTTGTACATGAAACTGCTTACTCGAATAAGCTTCCCGTCTACTGAAGGGTAAAAGAAAATTCTCAGATGTGGGTGTAACCGCTATGCATGAAGGGAAAACGCCCTGGTGGAAGACTGCCTGCAATGAATTCTGCCTGCCACCCAATGGCCGGTGAAAGGAGTGGTTTCTTTTCTTTGTGGCTTACAGAAAACAAAACAAAACAAAACAAAACAAAAAACAAAAAAAAAAAAAAACCAAAAAAAAAAAAACAGACCCAGAGGTAGATTAAGCCATACCCGGAATTTAAAACCACCAAGACATAGGCCTCGATATAGTTTAAGATACAACCACTGTAGTAAAGGTTATATATTTTCCTTTCCGCTAACTCAAAGGTTACCCACGAACGCCTATTTGTTCTTCCTGCGTCCCCGCATCTACCTGGGTTCAGATACTGACTGGCACGGAGGACACCGAGCTGGCTCGGGATTCCCGGGTCACGCTGTTGGGCATCGAGAGGGTGCAGCAGGACACGCCCACGGTGGCCTCGGGCAACTCGTCGTCCTCCATCCACTCGTTGAGCTCCGGGCTGAAGCACTGGATGCACTTCTTGTATTTCTTCTCGCCCTCGTTCCAGCCCCCCACGAGATACGCGCGGCCGTGCAGCGCCGAGGCGCCCGCCGTGCTCACGCCCACCAGCAGCGGCGCCGCGTAGCTCCATTGGCCAGTCGCGGGGCTGTAGCACTCCACGGTCAGCACGTCCACGCGCTCCCCGCGCGCCCCCAGCTGGCTACCCCCCATCACGTACACCCTGTCGCCCAGAGTGACCGCGCAGTGCCAGCCCCGCGGCGTGCTCAGGCCCGGCAGCTCCTGCCACGAGTCGCCGGCGGGGTCGTACGCGCACACCGAGCGCGAGTACGCGCTGCCGATGTACCCGCCGGTCACCAGCACCCGGCCGTCGGTGACCGCGCTGGCGTGGCAGCAGCGCGCCACCTCCAGGGGCGTCTTCGGCTGCCACTGATTGGTGGAGGGCACGTAGCATTCCAGCGAGGCCAGACTGCCTTCGGTATTGCGGCCGCCCACGGCGTAAAGGAGCCCGTTGAACACGCTCAGGCTGAAGTGCGTGCGCTTCTGGTTCATGCTGGCCAGGTGTATCCAGGTGTTGAAGCGGGGATCATATCTGAAAATGGCAGAGGAAGTGTGACAGCCTTGTTGGCGGCAGCTGGAGAACCCACGTGAGTCCACAAATGGAAATGTTGACACTTCCTGCAAGGAGGCTTCCCTACCAACAGAGCGCAGCCCCTCACCTGGGGGCTGGTGTTTCTGTGTCAGCCAGTAAAAGAGCGTGACACTTGGAAAAGGCAAGGTAGGCATTGGTGACTCCTCCTCCTCCCGTTTATAAAACCCGCTGTCACTTGGAGAAGTCCCCACAGAGCCCAACCTTCCAGTCCCTCTTCCTCCATACTCAAATGTCCATCATGGGGAAGATTTATGCATGTAGGGGAGGCCGTGCAAACTGGGTATTTGTGGCAAGCAGAAAGGGAACACTGCCACATTGACGTCAATTCCACATATCTACAGACACCAGCCATCCCTCGCTCATTCTCACTGCTTAAGATAGGAGTTGGCTAGTTGGATTTCTCCATCTCTCACCAATACCTTCTCATTTACACACCTGTCCTGGCCATTGCAACAGTAAAGCTAAGTCACTCAACCAAGTCTTCTATCATCTGTTTAGAATGAGATCAATGGAACTCCTATCCAAAAACATCAACAGATGCCTAATTTTTGATACCTTTCTATTTTTTAGCACCTCTGCGCAGGGAAGATTTTTTAGGTTAGAGGTATATTTTTTCAGTGTTGGATATTACAGTTATTATGCCACAAGGCATTGAAATCAATACTGCAAAAGCAGTGGCTAGAATCCTAATAAGAGTTATTAGCAGGAGGAAAATAAGCAGTCATAGAAAACCTGTTTCAACTGTTTACATAGTTCCAAAATATTGTAAACACAGATTCTTTCCATTGGTTTGATGTTCCTTCATTTTTGTCACATTTAACCTCCAAATCAAAGCTTAACCACTCTTATAAAGGACAAAAATCAGTTAATTGTTTGGATTCATTTAAATGACACACAGACTTATAATGAAATAATAAAGAATTTTTTTCATGATATGCTGTATAAATTTTCAGATCTTGCTCATTAGTTGTTTGACTTTGTACTTGTACCATGATAGAAGCATGACTTTCTGACATTTCAAATATATGAAAGTTGTTATTATAAATATACAAAAATAACATGGCATTTGAGTTTCATTTTCTGAAGGCTATATTATACTTTTACTGTTTCTACATGCATCAAAAATGTAGATATTTTCTAAGGTATTCAGTCCTCAAATAAATGTTTAAAATTAATTACCTGTCATGTGTTTAACGATCTCATTGTATCTGCCAATTATAAATCTGACAGTCATCAGTGACAGTCACTTAAAATAAATTTTGTATTATTGTGATCTTTCTTACCATCTAGTGTTAAAAACTACATTTGTACCTAGTTTGTTTTCAGAAAAACAATGTATTGGGAAGGGCGCCATACTATAAATGAGAAAATGTGAATTACTACTTACTAGTGGTATAACTTCTCTGGGTATCAGATTTCTCACGTGTATAATCAGAATAACCACATCTTCCCAGCTCATTTCCTAGGCTTATTCAGAAATCTGGAGTGCACTATTTATATATGCATGTACTTTATGTAATGTGAACTGTTGTGTACACGTAATGTGGGATTATTGTTATTGATTTACTGAGCCAATGAACTAACAGAAATGACTAATTTACTTCTGTCGGGGAAACTGTCTTATATTAAACCATTTGAGTTTCTAATAAAGGATCAAATACCTGCAGAAATTGCTGACTGCGTGCTTGGCTTGATTTCTTGCATCATTCTGGTCTTCGCCACCGGCCACGTAAAGAAATCCGTCCATCACAGCCACACACTGATTAAAACTCTTGGCTGGCATTTCTGTAAGCTTGCTCCATCCATTTTCAGGGTCTCTGTACAAGATGTCTCTACTAAGGGACTTCTCAGTGAGTCCTGGACGTCCCCCAACAGTGACAAGGACTCGACAGCCCCCACGGATTCTCGTGCGCCTAGACTGCAATGTGTTTTGATGATATGGAAGTAAGTGGTAGTTCATAGCATCTACGAGAAGTTTGTGGCAGTCAGCATCTTGCATCATTCTTGGTACAGACTGAACATAGTTGACCAGGTCTTGTGCAGAGATGGTACCAAAGCGAATATTGCTCAAAAGATCTGCAGCATACCTCACTCTCTTTTGGTCAAATTCTAACCACTTCATTGCAATCTGGAATGCTACTATTTCAGAAGGCAACTGTAAGTCATCATCTATGAGAAGTTCATTAATTTGCTCAAAGGTAAGTTTCAAAAACTGATCTGATTCTGCAAATTCAAGGAAGTTATCCCGGATAAATTTTTGGGTTGCTGCTTTTGCATTTTTCAAAGAGTATGTTTCAGCAATGTTAGCAATGTACATGCAATTCTCAACACTCATCTCCCGTATCAGAAAATCACTGCACATCTTTACAAGGGTGTGGATCTGAAGATAAACAGCAGCAGAAATAATGCTTCCTATCGTGTACAAGGAGAGAGTCAGCTTTCCGGTGTAGGCATATGCGATGACAGTAGCCAGGCCTAGTGGTGAGATATCATTGAGATCCACCCTTTGGGTAGATGGGTCTTTTTTTAGGATGTTGTAAAAGTATTCACTGCATGAAGCCATCACTGACTTGTGAACATCAAAAGATTTGGTTTTGGTGCCAATGACTAAGTCGCAAAGGAAGTTCTCCTGCCTCATTCTACTTAAGCCTTCCAAGAGATTGGGGCCATAAGAAGCATCTGTTAGTTCAGAAGAAATGCAGTTAAGGCCATTGCCTCCCTCTAGGAGCCCATTCAAAGCATTTAATTTGTTTAGGGGGCTATCTTCTACGATTATGGTCATCTCATTGATATCTCCTTTGTTCTTTTTGACAGTCTTCTTTTTGGGGGCCATGTTGGCAAACACACTGTCACAGGCAAGATTTTGCTACAAAAAAAAAACAAAAAAAAAACAAAAGAAAAGAAAAGAAAAGAAAGAAAGAAAGAAAGAAAGAAAGAAAGAAAGAAAGAAAGAAAGGAAGAAAGAAAAGAAAGAAAGGCATGGTTTTATTTTAACTGTGCATTGGGCTTTGAAATGTTACACTGAAAACCTTTTTCATAATAGTTTTTTAATAGCATAATGTAGATTAAACCTCAAAAATGGGCTTAAAGACTTACATTAAACCAGATGCACATTTTATGGACAGTTTGCTTCAGCATCAAGCACTGAAGACAATTCTAGAAAGATTTATATTATCAAATGAGACCTCTCAATACCTATACTGCCAAGTAATTTTATATAGCAGAAATGATCAAATATTCTCTGTTCTAGCTGTATAGTATTTATAGAACAGTAGTTAAACATCACTTGAAGGGCTTAGTTTATTCTCATGAAAAAATGAATTATAACTACTCTGAAGTTTTCCTCAATAAAATACTAAAATTCAGGAATCCATGTGAAATGTATATATATATTAGAATAAATGTGGAATTTAAAAATCAGTGAGTAAGGATTTGTAATGATACATTAGTTCAATTAATTTCTACTCTACATAGTCACTAAAATAACTTCCAGATGGATGAAATCCCTAAGTCACACTCACACACACACATACACATACACACACACGCAATGTGTACAAAAAGTAGAGCAAAGTAGGTGTTTTTTTTTCTTTTTCTTTTTTAATTTTAGGGTAGGAAAGGCCCTCTTAAGCATAATCCCAAATCCAGAAGTCATAGGGGAAAAGACTGAAATATCTGAATACAAAAAAAAAGAAACTATAAAATAACACCAGCCATTTAAAAGGCAAGAAATTGATGTTTAAAAAATGTTTGTCACATTCTTTTTTTCAATGTTTATTTATTTATTTTTAGAGAGAGAGAGTGTGCACGCAAGTCAGGGAGAGGCAGATAGAGAGGGAGAGAGAGAATCCCAAGCGGGCTTGATCTTAAGAACTGCGAGATCATGACCTGAACCAAAACAAAAAATTGGATGCTTAACCTCTGAGCCACCCAGGCACACCCCACCTTTTTAAAAATTGTAACACTCTTGACAGATAATAAGTTAATTAACATGATATTTAAAGAACTCCAACAATTAATTAACAATAAAAAAGTAATCCAATTAAAAATTATCAAAGACTATGACTAGGTAACTAGATTGTTCACAGAAAATACAAATAGTTGATCAATACATTTTTTAAAGCTAAACTAATTATAATCAGAGAACTGTCAACTGAAATACAGAAATCCTTTTTATTTACTTTTTTGTGGATTCATTTTGCTTATCAGATGGTCAAAATATTTTTTAATCTTCGTATATCAGATACTGGTGTGGTGCTCTCCACACACATTATTGATGGGAGTATGATTGATACAGTCTTTGCTTTGATGCTAAATCTAAATCTAGGAATGTGCCTCATAGAGTATTATCCTCATAAAGATATATTTATATGGATAGTATCCATTTTCCATTATCAATGTTATAAATATTTGAGCCAGTTTAAACTGATATGAAGTGCCTCTGAACCTTTAAGGTGATTTAAGCTTCAGTATTAAACAGACTTGAAATATACTAAGTTTAACAAATACATGCTTAGCCCTTAAAATATCATTAATTAAACTGCTTTAGACTTTTTAAAAATATTGAGCTTAGTCACCAGAAGATGTTATATTTGGACTTTTCAGTGGGTTTTATTTACACCAGGATGGTAGTATTCACTTTTTTGTGAGATTACTGTTTTGTTTTTTTTTAATTTTTAAGATTGCAAAATCAGTATTTATAAATCAACAACTCACTTTGGTAGATATTACTCCAGATAATTGGATAAGCTTATACAAACTTATATTTGCATATTTTTGAGCAGTGATGTGTTGATAAACCAGCTCTCTTAAAGGTGAAAAAGTCCTTCTTTGTAAGGTATGGATTTCTTTAGTGCAAATACACTCATTGTGGCTGCTTTTAAGCTATCCACTGCTTAACAATCAGCTTGTCAAATTCCTGAAAATGTAACAGTTGGCTTTCAGAAGCCAGTACAAGTCAGCTCCAGCAGACCACTATATGAGAACTTACATCAAAACACATTGATGCTGTATTATTCAGCAGTTTGTTTTTTCTCACCTACCATAAGTTATGTACTTCCTTCTGTATCAGTACACACATGCATCACATCATTCTAATAGTTGCATAGCATCCCATACTAAAGATGTATAAAATTTATGCAATTATTCTCCTACTGATGGGTATTTGGGTATTCAGGCATTTCATAGTTTTTTGAAGGCTCTGTGTGTGTGCGTGTGTGTGTGTGTGTGTGTGTGTGTGTGTGTGTGTGTCTTTTAAGTTTCACTGTTGAATTCATTCTGAAGGGTAAAACTTGGCTTTGATCCTTCTTGAAAGGCCTTCAATTTAACTACTGGAATATATGTTAAGAATTCCATAACCTTTTTATTTTGTTTGTCCTTATTCCTTTGATGTAGAAGAATCATAGCAAGTACGTGGGAAACAGAGAAGATCTATCTCTTTGCCAGGGCCTTTTGTCCTCCTCATTAAGTTCAGATTGTCATATTCATATTTATATTTGTTTACAAGACGGCAGCACATATGTCCTGCTTCATTCTTTCCTGCAAGCAATGCCAGATGCATCCTGACCTTGTGAAATAGATTTCCAAACCCGCATCAGTTTAGTCTTCAAATGCCTTTGACTTAGGTGGTTAGTGTCCTCTTGATGGATTTTTCTGGGGAAATGTAAAAATTTTGTTCAGCAAGTACTTATCAGACACCTACTGCTGTCTGGGCAGCACTGTGCTGGGAGTGATGGAGTAATACAATATGTAATTTATGTTAGACAGACAAGGCATACAAGTATAAAATGGCAACAAGTAACTAGGTAAACACAATAATTTTTTTAAAACATCAGTTTCTACCATCTGGAGTAGTAGCACCAATGTCTTTGGGAAAAGCCTGGTATATTTTCTTGGAAGAGCCCCTTTGGACAATTTTTTATTCCCATAAATGTTGGGCTTATAATCACTCATTATTTTGGAGGAAATCCTGAACTTGAAGAGTAGTATCAATGTTTTAGACCGAAAAGGTAAAAATTCTGTTCATCTATCATTAAATGATTACAGTAGTCCCCTTTTTATCTGTGGTTTTGCTTTCCTCTCTTTCCATTACCCATGGTCAGCTGTGGTCTGGAGGCAGATGATGTCCTTCTGGACAGAAGACCAACAGTAGCCTAAATGCTACATCACAACGCCTATGTCATTCACCTCACTTCATCTCGTCACGTAAGCATTTTATCATCTCACAGCATCACAAGAAGGGAGAGTAAGGTACAGTAAGATATTTTAAGAGAGAGCACATTCACATAGCTTGGATTATATGTGACTTGGTGACTACTGTATTCATTGGTAGCATATAGGATATCTTAAATATCTTAAGATATTCAACAACTGATAAAACAGGGCGCCTACTAAATAGCATGGATTCACAGGAGCCTACTTAATAGCATGGATTCTGGAGCTGAGTTCCAGAGGCTTCCCTGGAGCACTCTGTGTAAGGCATCAGTTGCTGGATAACAGTGGGGCCCAGGGGCTTCTTGGAGAAGGCTGGAGGGGTGGGAGGGAATCAGGGGGAGGTCAGGGCAGCAAATATCCGGAAATACAGAAGGATCAACTCCGTACGGAAGGATCTCACTATTTTAACAACTGGTATACTGTACTGAATCATTCTTGTCTCAGTGACAGGGTATAATCATGAGGTTTCTGAAGAAAAGAGAAAATCTAGCTTCAACAAAGCAGCAATATTATGGGGCTCTGGAGACAAAGGGCCAGCAGGGAATTCCAAAGGAAAGGGTGACCAGTGGATCCTGGGAGCAATAATATATGATTGCCAGTTTTAAATCTTCCTTTTCTACAGTGTTACTCTCCTATATCACACTTAATTGAGGAATCTCAAGTATCCTTAATAAAGTCTGATAAATTGCTGACTAGCTCCCTCTCTGCCTGTAGGAGTATCATCTGGTATTGTCGTGAACACCTCAGCCTCTACAGAAGGACTGCTTCAATTTAACAAGCAGCTCTAGGGGTGAGGGTGGGAAGCTGTGGATTGGCGTGGGGGAGGAGGTACAGGAAACTATCAAGTGACTGTAGGAGTATGCTAGATGGGGTGCCTGGGGGGCTCAGATCGTTAAGCCTCCAGCTCTTGATTTCTGCTCAGGTCATGATCTCACAGCTCCTGAGTTCAAGCCCTGCATTGGGCTCTGTGCTGACAGTGCGGACAGAGCCTGCATGGTATTCTCTGTCTCCCTCTCTCTCTCTGCCCCTCCTCTGCTTGTGCTCTCTCAGAGACTCAAAATAAATAAATAAACTTAAAAAAAATAAAGGCAGGGTGATTTTATAGAGGAGTCAAGAGTTGGAAAAAAGAAATAGCATAGGATGAGTTCCCCTACCCTTGAAAAGTTTTGGGGTGGTTTTTTTGTGGGTTGTTTTGTTTTGTTGGTGGCTTTTTGCCTAAGAGCAGATTGCAACTGGCACTTCAAGGGGCAGCTACACCTCCAACAGAAAGTATCGCTGCATTGAAGAACCAGAGGACAGTTTGTGGCAATCACATCCACTACAAAGTGAGCTGGGAATTCTGGGAAAGAGAGATCCTCAAAGGGGAACTCAGTGGAAATTTAGATCTTCAGGAAGGAATGAAATGTATCAGAAATGATAAACATCTGGATGCATATAAAAGACTTTTTTTCCCTCTATTCTTCTTTAAAATTCATACAACTCTTCAAAGCAAAATTGATAAATTGTCTTGCGGGGTTTCTAATATTTCTAGATGTAGCACATACAACAATTACAGCATAAAGGGTGGGGTGATGGTAAGTGAATCTATATGGTTGCAAGGTTACTACATTTTGTGTGAAA